TCAATGCAAAACATATAGCAGCTAGCGTGGAAGCTAGCGTGGACGTTAGCCCGACTCGGAGTACAAGGACCCACACCCAATTCGCGTTGATCAACCAGTGGCCTATGCAACAGAGAGATTTTATTTTTCATCAGGATATTGGAAGAATAGGAGGGATTGAGGTCAATCACTGGCACTTTTTTATTTTATTTTAAATGGTACACTTTATGTTGAACTATTTATTACGTTGTTGGTGCAACTGGCACTTTATGTTGAACTGTTTATTGTTTTGGCCAAGGTTATTGAGAGAGTTGGACTGAAATTGATTAGATTTTTTAAATCAACTGTTGGTAAATCAACAAAGTCTGTTATGGCCTCTGAAGCAACAGAGAGATGTTTTCTAATAGTCAGGGTTTCCAATGTTCTGAATGTACTTGAAAGTATTGTGTTATACTTCAAAAACAAAGTGTTATAGTTTACAGAAGGTCTACCTACCTATAGGCTACCTGAATCTCTGAAATGTACTGTATTCCTAAATATGCTATTGCTACACTTTATGGCAAAAATTTCACTTTTCTGTTGGTCTTTGTTAAGTATAGCCTTGAAAAAAATAAACAATGTTTTGTTGCTTAAGCTTATGTATTCAGTCATTATTCAATGGTATACTAAAATCCATGTGAAAAAAATTGCTTCTCACTGTTCTCAGGTCAAATATTTATATGCGATTAAAAATGCGATTAATTGCGATTAATTAATTACAAAGCCTGTAATTAATTAGATTAATTTTTTTAATCGCGTCCCGGCCCTAATTTTAATAAATGTTAACTTTTTTTTTTCTCCAAAGGGGGGCCTGACAGAAAAAGGTTGAGAACCACTCTGGCCTAATGCTACTGACCTGAGTAAGTTTCAGCTTCCCTGCTGAAAAACAACAATTAGCCTCTTCGTCTATGATGATCCTAACCTTAACAGACCCATGTACTGTCTATTAGCTGTTGTATTATGTACGAGCAGGGCTTTGTGTACAATGCTTGGACTTCAGAATACCAGAAACAACCAAGATTATTACATGGGTTAGTTGAACAACTGAGCCATTCCGATCAATTTGGACATTCAGTGGTCTTTTCTTATTTTCAATAGCATTTCATTGCTAAGGACACTCAAGGGACCATGTGCAATCAACAAAATGAATTCAGGTCAATTTAAGGTCAGCTGTGGCCAAAATGAAATCACAATGGAATGGTTTTTGAATAATGATTTGAATATTTAAGCATATAATAGAAGTGGTCAAAACTTTGGATTCATGATAGCTAAACTGTCTCCAGTAAAAAGAGAACAAATACAAGGAAACAACGCAATGTTGAATGTGGGAATCCATATGTTGTGTCAAAATATTGATTTAAGACCAAGTCCATCTCATCCCTGTCATATTATCTTTTACATAACAAGATGACCTGAGCAAGAAAAGGCACACTATAAAAATGATGGGACAATATGTGTGAAAGGAAACTGTTAGCAGCACGCTAACAGGGGTCAGCTGCGCTTAGCTTCTTAGCTAATAGTTCTGCTCCTCTCAAGGGGCTGTAGCTACACCATTGTTGTGGGGTTTGTTTGTGCCAGATGGAGAGGTTGCCCAGTGGGAGCATTATGCAAGAGACCAGCCTCTAGTCTAGTGGATTAGCCTTCTGAACAGATGTGCTCCAGGCTAACGCTATTAATCGCAGAGGTTCAATACGAAGACATGACAAGCACTCCAAATCCAGCCAACAACAGAATGAAATCAGCAGCAGATCTACAGGAAAAGTGGCTTTGATACTTGACTTGGTTGTTGTGTTAATGTTGTTCTGTTTGCATCTAAGTCTCCTGTCTGATGTAGAAAGCAATAAACGCTATCATTAAAGCATGTATGATTAGATATTTATTCCATTGTGTTAATGAACATTAGCATAATTGAAGATGTTTTATGGAACATTTACTGACTTGTTGCATCATGTTTCTAGTGAGGGTGCTTATGCTTCTGATCGTAGTTTTGATATCTGTCTCAAGCAACCAGATACTGAATATCAGACCGTAACCTTTCTAGAGCAGACAGAAGTGTCTTAATCAATCAAAAGCTGTCACAGAATGACTTAATAGTAATGTAAGCTAATTTCTGTTTCAAATCTTGTCTGGGGAGTTGCTATCTCAATCT